AATATTTCAACTATCTCAGAATGTCACCAATAATCTTTACCGAATTACTCAATATTGTTGGACCACTCATCGAAAAACAACATCGCATTGCCCAATGTACGCTATCTCGAATTATTCCGGAAACTTGTCAAGCAATTTGGTTCTCCCTAAAAGAGAAAATTATGATTGATCCAACTGAAGAAAATTGGAGTACGATTGCAGAAGACTTTGAGACAACATGTCAATTTCCACACTGCATAGGCGCTATCGATGGGAAGCATGTCGAAATTCAGGCATGTATATTATCAATTTATTTACATATAATAATCAATATATTACACATTAATGATGCAATGATGTATGCTTTGTAATGAGTAATGTGTTTATCACAATGATGGTTTCCAATATATTGCAGGCACCGCCTCGTAGTGGTTAACTATTTCCATAGACTGCAGAGATCCTACAATTGTACAGAGAATGGTCTATTATTTACTTTTACACACGCAGATAATATTATTCATAAAAATCATTAAAAATTATCTTACCATCAAATGCGTTTACAATTTCTTGCTATAAACTTTCTTTTTTTAATCTTGTCCTTTCGGTTACTGGAATTGAATGATCCCATAAAGCTCTTCGAGTTCGCACCAGTTCAATTAGTAACTCGTTTTGTGTCAGTACCGATTGTGTAGCAGATTGTGAAGCTCCTTCATGTTGCACAACACTTTCAGTTTGACGTCTCTTTACTTTAACATAAATAAATAAATAAACAACTTAAATGATCGCGAAATGACTCAATTGACTGTTCTGATGTACTATACATACTCATAGTATTGCCACAGCATTGCTGGTAACATTTATGACATCTTCAGTTTCATTATATTTCTTGAAACAATCGTGGTCCAAAAGTGTTTCACATGACCCCCTTAAAATGAAGCCGCAATAGCCACACTTTGTTGCCTGTGAACAAATACAATCGTTTAATTATCTTTATTTCACCTAAAGTGAGGTTATGACTTTGCAATAGGTGTTACTAATTTGTTATTCTGTTCAAATTTAATATTGTTTTTTTCGTCATTTCATTATTATTTTTACAAAAAGCAGTACATAACCTAAAGTTAGGTTACATTTACCTGTTAATTCTTTATCTATATATCAAAAGAAGTGTGTAAATTACAGAAACTTTTCTCCAAAAATAACAAGCTAATATATGTTTACTGAGTACTAAAAAGCATTCAAATACTTACATCCATTTAGAAAGTTTTTATTTTCTATTATACTTGAGTCCACGTGCACACACGGTAACGGATTCCGCTCAAATGTGCGGAAAGAAACAACTCAATTCGCGGAAACGCGGAATAGTTATTTTTCTAGTTACTTTCTCTTCCGCGTTTCCGCGTTTCCGCGTTTCCGCGCTCCATGTAATGCCAGCCTAAAGCCTATCACACAATGCGAGGCAACAGGCAACAGGAATAGGGAATAGAATTTTTGACGCGTTGGATTGGTTGAAGGAAAATTTCCGACGAATCCAACGCGTCAAAAATTCTATTCCCTGTTCCTGTTGCCTGTTGCCTGGCATTGTGTGATAGGCTTTAGGGTGCATCCCGATGGAGATAGAAATAGCGGAACGGAACAGTAACGGAAAGGTAACTAGATGAAAGGCTAACCAATCAGAATGATTCCGTTCCGCTTTTTCATAGCCGGGTTCCCCATGGCAGCAATTTTAGCGGAACGGAACGAAAACGGATAATACATAACCCGTAAAGATCTGTGTGCAAGAATGGATCATAGGTTAGGTCCGAAAATGATTAGAACGTCACTTGCTTTTAGCGAATATAATGAACAACTATTTACAATATTTACAGAGTGCTAATGTTCGGGGGTTCTCCCCGCGCGTATCGGAGAGATTTGGTAGCGAGATCCGCGAGCAGCGAAAGTCCGACAGTTCACGCGAAGTAGGGAAAGCCGATCGGTTGCAATCTCTTGACACACAGAACAAAAACGTTAAGCGAGACTAGATTTCGCGCAAAGAGCAAGGTGGCCAGTGTGCCCACTCTTTTATGCTATAAAGGTTTCGCGAACCTTCGATGCTCCAGATCGCCGGTAGCGGGTGACAA